CTTTTACCTCGATCATGTTCATATTTTTTCACACAACACAACCACGATGATCGGCTTCGACCTCAGGATCGAAAACACGAACGAAGGCGTAGGCCTTTACTACGAACATCTTCTTAACGTCACCTTCCATTGTTCCCCACCAACTATAACCACAAACACCTCCGTAACCATCGACAACTACACCATTCACGGGTTTTACCAAGGGCCAGGAATGGTTCATAACTTCCAAGACGTTGTGACCGTTCATAACGACTGTATGAAACCACGGGAGGCGAATGTGATGGTCTTTTGGGTGGGTTTGGACGCGAGAGTGAAGTTTAGGTCGATTGAGAAAAGGGATTCCGATTTGGTTGCTGTAGGTGTTGTGGAGGTTGACAGCAACACTGGGCATATGGTTCAAAACAAGACCATTCAATTGGAGTATGCTACTTCTTATTCTAATAGGTGGGGAGCTCAACAATGGCTGCTATCGATTCCATTGGCTTTGTTGTGTCAGTTACTTGCTACACTGATGCTTGCTTTCTCTTTGATCATTTTGGTTGCTGTTTTAGCTTTCATTCGTCAAGTTTGTTTGTGGCTTGGTTTGGAGCTAAATTTTGTTTTTGCTGCTTGTTTACTTGTCTTCACTTTTGTTCTTGCACACTCGGCTATCACTTTAGGTCTCTATTTGGTATTTGTATGGTTTCCAAACCGTTATGCATAATATATATATATATATATATATATATATATATATGCGCTTAATCATTTGAGAATATGTATTGTGATGACCGTGAGAATTTATATCTTAACGTATTGTTTTATATGGTTTTTTCTCATCTAAGGCTAATATTTAATGTATTGATGAACATATGTTTGTTTCATAATTTGTTTGCTTCATATGTATGCGGTTCACGATGTGAAACTCTTTACGTCTGACTATTGTTTCATGATTAAACAAGCTAAAAAGGATTACAGTATGAAACAAGTACATGTGATAAAAACACATTGTGAAACAAATGTATGTTAATCGATATTCTAAATTCTTGTCTTCGATGAAAATAAATCATAGAAAATAACACATGATGTATGAGTTCTCAAGGTTAACACAATATCATGTGTTCTCACATATTTAACCATATAAACGCCAAAAAAGTGTCCTATGTTAAACTCTATTCGGACGCTTTTAGTGTTACGTAAAACATTTTATAGGACGTTTGAATTTGTTTCATAATTATATAACTTGTTAAACATGATTATTTTATTAACTAACTTGCTTATCTATACTATATTACAAAGCATTTGAGAAAAAATAAAAACATTTGTTTATGCATCATGTATTGTTATTGATACATATTACTTAAAATTCAAGATTACAAATAAATTATCCGTAAGTACAGCTTATTAAAACTCGTGTAACTTTTGCAAATTAACATAATCAGATACATGATGAATATCTAATTTGCATATAAAAAATCTAAAATATAATTTGGATAATCATTGAGTTCTAACATAATATTTAGTTATTATATTTATAGTAAATTATATTATTAAAACGAAATAAATTACTTTGTTATTAAATTTAAATTAAATTATAAGAAAATTGAATTAAATAGTTATTTCATTGTAATATCATTATACTTTTTCAAAATTTTATGAGATCTGCGAATTTATATTTTATTCAAATATAAAAAGATTATTGTTTTATCAAAACCATGTTATAATATTAACAGAGAGACAAAAAATAAAATGAAACACTAAAATCAAGATGTATTATGTTACATTGTGCGGATACCCTTCTAATATATATTAAAGATCTTACAAGTTGCATTTTTCGATGTTCACAGTTAAAAAAATATTAAGTTACTGATAAGTTTTTTCTCTCTCTAAATATACAAATAATAAATCAATTATTACATATTAAAAAATTAATTAAAATAGTCATTTTTACAGGTTGGTTTCATCTCTTAGCCCACTTATTTATAAGCTGCTAAAATAGTCACAGGTCTGCAATTTTATTTTGCTGACATGGGTGAAAAATGTAAATTATTTTTACAGACCTGGATGAAAAATGTAAATTTTTACAATTAAGGCCTCTCATTAAAGCTACCATCTACTTTTATGTAAGAGATAAATATTTTTAACATGTCGTTTTATTTTTCATTAATAGTCACCAAAAATATTCATGTTGATAACCCATAAATGTTTCATATAAATAATTTTACTTCATTTTTTTACAATTATTTAATTACTTAAAAGAAATTGGACATCTATAACTAAGCCTGCTCATCGGTTTAGCTGACATCTATTGGATGTGAGGAGAATCGAACTGATCCAATCATCCATTGATTGAATTTTGTCAACCGATCCAATCCGTTTAACATTGGACAACCGGTTTAATCAAATCCAATTGATGATTGGATCGGTTCGGTTCCATCCATTGAATATTCTTATTAGATATCCACGAGATCAGATGGATCCATTCGACATCCAATGGATGATCAGAACGATAGGATCTAATAAATGTATTAATTTAATCCAATTTTCTAATAATGAAACATATTGATTAATCATTTTTAATGTGTGTTAAAACCAACACAAATTGCTTATTAATTTCTCCCATTTTTGCATATATATACTCAATTTCTTCGTTTTCCCCGTTTATTCTAAAAGTTTTAAAAAAGATGATAGAAACACAAATGATGGAAATTTATTTCGAAAACCTGCACTTTCTGGTGACAATGTGGGAAGTTTACGAATTTTGATAGGCTTCTACTTTGTGGAGGATGTTTGTTTGAAGATTTTGATTAAAGATCTTCTACAGCTGGAGTTGTTTTATAAAGTTGTATTTTGATTTTTTTTTAAATAGTTGTTAGATGGTCTTTGCCCCTATGGTTTTTGCGTGCGTAATTTCTTTTGGGTAAAAAGCTTCATCCTTATTCCTCTCCTATAGAAAGAGGTATTAGGTTCGTTTTGAAGATCATCCTTTTGAAGCTTTACTAGCTAAGGTCTCTCTTCTCTTAAGTTAAATTTTAGCATGTAATTTTTTTTGTATTAATTATAATCTGCTGCCCCCAGTCTCACCACTGTGGGCAGCAAACTTTTGTTCTATATTAATGAAAGTTGCGTTTAAGTTTTATTTATTGTCTTATATTATGTTTTTCATGTCCATTATAAGCTAATTTACTTATATGAGTGTGAGTTTAACTTAGGATTTTTATACAATATTTGAGTGCTTTTACTTTTTACCACTTCGTAAACTTGGTCACTTAAAACGGGACTTAAATTCAATACGGATAAGCTGATGACTTTGAAGTGTTAATATTAGATCTTAGACTAGAGATGGACAAATCCGTAATACGGCTTAAGTGATGTACAAAAAACTCGAGAGAGTCTTTGATAATTACGTATAGATGCGAATTTTGTATGTATTTAGCTAAGGATTAAGCATTGATTATTTATATTATAAAGAGATTTGAGTATGATTTTTTTTCCTGTCTAGCTAAATCAACAAGTTTTGGGATTGTGAGAGTGAGAACTTTGTGGGATCTGTTTATAAATATTCACTTTCGAGATTGGAATATTTACAAACATCTCATAAGTTTTTGACCATTATATTGTGTTTTTATCTTAAGGAATACTTACACCAATGCTCCTCTTTTATTTTATAAGCCTATTTTGTTTATTTCGAATTTGAAAGTTTTTTACCAACAAAAATCAAACTTTTATTCACAATCAAAACATGCTCAAGAAGTTCATGAAAGTCTCCGATTTTTAGTATTTCAATCCTTGTGGAAACGATCTCGGTATTTTACCACTTTATTACTTGCAAGCAATCATAGTGTCGGCGTGCACTTGCACCATCACTAAAGGAACTTCGTCCCCATTGTGTGAACACGAACGCTTATAAGCTGTCAGTAATCGGATGACTAATGACTAATTGGATATTGATCGGTTCGGTGTGGTCGATTTTGGTTGGTTCTGGACTGTCATCCAAGAATCTATCGATCCAAATTGAATGTTGAAAATTTCAATCAGATTCAACCCAATTACTTGGACATCCAATTATGGCCGATCGTTCTAATTGGATCAGTCGATTCAAATTATATCGATTGACTTTCTCCATAACCCCTATCTATAATTCAACAATAAACCTTATTTTTAATTCTAAACTTTACATAAATCCAATCAAACAACTATATTATTTTGACGTTCGTGAATAATATTAATTAATTTTTAGAGACAAGAGTGAATCATGTTTTTCGTTCATGTGGTTTGTTAAAAATTTTGATTTTTATCCCTGTGGTTTAAAAATTATGGTATATACCCCTATGGTTTGTAATGTAGTGCTATTTTTATTCTTATAATTTATAATTTATTATTGTTTCAGTTCTTGTGGTTTATAATTATTTACTATTTTGATCCCTTATACTTAAAAGATAAAAATTAGTCCAAAAACGAAAATAACAATAAATTACAAACCATAAAGATAAAAATCACAATTTCTAAACCATAAGTATGAAAATAGAAATTAGTAACAAACCATAAGGACGAAAACAATAATTAACTCTAAAGAAAATGATCAAAAATGTACTCAAGGCACTTAACGGATGTAGGTTAATAGAGTTAGAAGTTGTTTGACAGTTACTGAATGGTTTGGTTCATGATGATTAAATAATCAGAATCATTACAAGGCTTTTATGATATATTTTAAAATAATATATGATTGATAATTGTTCAGAATGAAATTAAGATGCTTAATGGTTTAGGGAAGCACAAGATACAATATCACTCAAAAGGTTTTAGAACTATTAAGCTACAGATTTTTTAAACAATATTCATCTTTTAACAATTCAGAGGCTGCTTCTTATTTTTTAACGAAACTATTAAGAGATAAACAAACAGACGACCATCCTCGTAATTATTTCACTCAAGGAACCTGATTCATAACTTTCATATAACCACAGGGACCAAAAATGAAACTTACTCTTATTATCGGCTTGCTCTTCTTCAATCGAATTTCAACCTACGCATAGAGTAAACAGATGATCGAACCAGAAATGGAGGAATTAACAGAGCTGGAGAGATTACAGGCTCAAATCCTTAATAGAATTGCAAAGCTCGAGCTCTCTATCCTTTCTCCATCCAACAATTCTCCCAATAATGACCTACCTACCATCACCACCACCACCACCGAAGCACGCCTCTCCGCCGTCCTTGTCGACGGCGGCGTCAAAGACTTCTCATTCAAGCGCGTTCCTTCCGATTACTATGATTGGTCCTTCGAATCTCGAAGAGACATTCTCGGTGCCGCCTCCATTCATCATCTATGTAAAAGCATTGTTCTGGTAATACTAATTGTCTAATTCAACTGATTTCATTTGTTTTTAGTAGTAATAGACTGTGGTTTTTGGTATTTTGGAAGGTAGAATGCGTTTTTATGCTGTGAAATTTGATTGTTTAATTTTTGAATTTCTGGATACTTCCATTTTCGATTGTTTAGGCGATAGACTGTATGTCCTTGAGTTATTTACTATCTCTGTTCCAAAGGAAAATAGTTGCTCTTTTGACTTTGAATGCCAAACATGTAAATTTTCAGCTTCAAATTGATGTACGTATTTGGAGTTGTTGAAGAAATCGCCAACGTAGATAAACCTACTACAACTAGAATGTATTGGTGTTTGAAGTTCTTCAATTTGTCATTGAGAATCATTGGATTTTACATTATAAATCAAATTCCAATTCTTACTTAAGAATGGAGGGAATACTTTAATTTAACTTCTTATATTATCCTGGGTCTTGAAATGGAGGTCTAATCTATAATACCTGAATTAAGCATAATGAACTAATTTTGCAGTTAAAATGTAATATGGAAGTTTGAATACTCTTTTACTGTGAATTTGACTGCTTAATATTTGAATATCTGGATACTTACCTTTTAGATTGTTTAAATCATGGTCATCCAAAAAGAAGCAACACTATTCAGTTTTGGTTGTCCTGAAAAGATTGCAATGTTCCATTTTTTGGAAAGATAAACCAAACCAAACCAAACCAAATGAACCATGTATACCCCCTAGATAAATAAGGGTCTGGAAGAGGTAGGATGCAATGCAGACCTTACCTCAACCACTAGKATCAAGAGGCTGTTCCGGTAAATACCCCTGGCTTGTGCACGAAACAAAGGTGTGTGCAAGCAGGTGATATGATAGGTAATATAACAGATGATCAGGAATATAACAGGTAGAATAGTGATTCAATGGTGTGTGCAAGCAGACAATATAGTCACGTGAAACATGTAATACAAGTAAAAAACTAATGTATATAGCAACTTGCACATTTTTTGGAAAGATAGAGAACTTTAAATTAACTTCCTAAAGTTGGAATACATCCTGAACCTTGGATAAGAGGTCTGATCTAGAATACTTCAGTTTAAGCTTAATGGACTAATTTCGCGCAGGTACTATGCTAAGAGTTTGTAGTTTAACTCACCACAAGGCATTATTTGTTATGCCTACCTGCGAGTTGGTCACTTGCTTAGGGTTACAAACGAGTAATTAGAGGATGAAGCAGGTCCTTATCATTATGGATAATTTGTATGCATTTCTTTGATAATACAATAAGCACCTACAACTACAATGTTCATAGCTTTTACAATGTATATAARTTCATAATGATCACCTATTCTATGAATAGTCTGTTTAATCATGGAAGTTAAAATGTATGCTATTCCTAAATACTAGTCATCTTCAAGTTTTAAAGTATGATTTTGTCCTACTGTAATAGCTGAGGATTAACAGCAATACATTTGAACTTTGTTCTATGCGTTATTGAACATGGGAGTTAAAGGATACAATTATGGATAGAATTTAATGTTTTCCCCTTGTTTTTGAGATTATACTTGAGTTGTGCGCAAACATAGCTTTTTACCATGGACGTGTTATTGGGTACTTATGGTCTATTTGTCTCTGGTATGCAGTATGCATATAGGGTACTACAAGTTTATATGTTATATGCACACGGAAAGATAATTTTAAGTCTTCATTCAAATACCTGAACATTCTCAAATATAGCCACGTCGAACAAATAATTTTCTACATCTCTGTGTTCAAATTTTTGTACCTTAAAAATGGGATTCCAACACTTCTCCTCCGCCTTATATTAATACTTTTTTTTTGTATATTGGTGCTCCTTGCAGGTTAATACTCAAGCTGCATCCAATATCACTGATTGCAGTGACCGCCAAAATTCAAAGTACTACGTTGTTGTTGTTCAGGTGCTTTTTTCTTTTACTTTTCAGTCTCTGTTGGCCACAATTCAACCCATCCTGCTCTTATTTTTCAGATATTTGTTTATTGCAGTACACCGCTCGATTTAGTGCTGAAGCTGTAAAAAACTTTCTTTATTCGCTCAACAATGGCAAGATACCCAAAAAGAGATTCAACTGTAAGTAACCTACTGTATCATATAAAAATATTACTAAAGCTGGAATGATGCAGCAAGACCTATGCATTTCTATGTATGTGATCATATGCTTCCACCTTTCTTTCTAATTTGAATCTAGGTGTCACTTAAAATGGGATTGGGGCATCAGAAACATTTGGTCTTGGTACAAATGATCCTAGTTCAAAGGCATTCTGGCCAAAGTTGGTTTGCCATTTGGCTGGGCCTTAAGGTTGAATTTGTTGAAAAACGAACTTGTGCATAACTCTTATGATTGTTCAAGTGTCATGTTTGATGAGTTTGTGGTTTCTTACTTGGGTAGTGACAATAGGGCATGCTGTGCTAATAACTGCTATGTGGGATTCGAATGCATGTCCTATGGCATTGAGGGTATCTGTTCAATGTCGATTAAGAGAATTTGGAAAAGTTCTGGAACATTTGTTTCTATCATCCTCAAATACTTCAATTGGGTAGAAGAGTGGGAATTGGGATTTGGGATGATGAGTATTTTTCAATATCCACAGAGATGGCAAGTGATGGCCCAAGTTCTAGTTCAACAAGGCTAGGAATCTTTTTAAAGTTACCATTTACTGAACTGCATATAAACCATCACCATTTACCAAATTCTTGATCGGATCACTCATGCTAATAGTTGACCATCATGCTACATTGGCATCCTTATGATGAAAAAAAACAATTTTCCAAGTATATACAACATTTGTATACGGCAAAACTCACACACACACTTCAAGGAGGATGGGATCTGCTGGTAACCCGGGTACCGCTGGGCCATTGACCCTTTCGGGAGAATGAAAATATTTGAATGTACAAGATTATCTTGTGCCATGATGTTAACTACATTAGAATTGGTGTTGCAGTAAGGCTTGCTCCAGAAGAGATATCACACAAGCTGACTGGTTATGAACACAATGGAGTAACATGCGTTGGCATGAAAACCGACATCCCGGTAAGCAAAATCTGCACAAATCCTCTTAACATTTCTTGTTGAATTAAAGTTCTTCAACTGGAATCATTATTACTATCATGCCAACCAAGATATGCTGATACCCCCTTATTCTTACATCAAGTTTTCAGACATTAACTAGTAATGGATTTCAAAGGGACCATTGTCTTCTTGACCCAAAATTACATACATGGCTTAATATCTTTGCCAAAGGGTCAATGGCCTAGCGGCATTCAGGTTACCCGTTGATCCAAGCCTCCTTGGAGGTCAAGGTTTCAAGCCGTGTGTGGGTTTTGCCGTATATAAATATTATATACTTCAAAAAAGAAAAAAAGAATTCTATGTTTGACACTATATATAGTTAATAAAATATTTCATTATTGATCAAATATTAACCCTTTAATAATGACAAAATAGGCAAGTTATGGCATCCCAACTCAAAGCAGCATATTGGCATGTATAACCTCCATGTTTTTCTTTTTCCTTTTGATAACCATGAGTGTTCGGGTCAGCTTGCTTGCACCTCGACTAATCCCATATTTGGAAACATTATTTTCCATCCGTTTCCTTTCCTTTCTCGCCTAAAAAAGTTTCTAGAACATGAGTTTATTCTTTTTTACTTTCCTCCCCTTTTCCTCTCTTTCCCTTTCCTTTCATTCGTAAAAAAGGTTTTGAGAAAGCAACGTTAAAGTTAATAGCCAGACAAACGTCCAATAGCCCTAAGGGGACTCCAATTGGTGACTAATGGGGACCTAACCAGTTGAGCTACCCTCGATGGTCATATAACCTCCAAAAGTGATATTTTCTTCTTTTCTGCTGATCTTACCAAAAAAGTTAAAAAGAGCCCAAGGGATTTGAACTTGTAACCTATAAATCTGTAATGCCACATGCAATGACACTACCAGTAGGTTGCAGTCACTTTTTGTTAACTTAGAGAAGCACACATCAATTAAAGCGATCTAGGGGACATTTTGATATGTGTGCATTATGAATTTATGATACATAATCATCTCACCTGGTGAACTTGGTAGGTTATTTTGGACGAAGCAATTGTGAAGCTTCGTCCGGATTTCTTCTGGTTGGGTGGCGGAGACATCGATCTGAAACTAGGAATCAACACTTCTGAATTCATCAACTTCGCAAAACCGTTCATTGTGAATTGTAGTGGCTCTTGATTCGTTTGAATCAAAGACGTTGCTAACGCACCTATTGTTTCCGGGGTTTATCACTTTCGAGTGAGGTTTACTGGTTTTTTTTTTTTGTTTTTTTGTTTTATATTAATCATTTTAATCAACTCATTTGAAGAAAGAGTGCTTGATAATTAATCTAATAGAAGGGCCATCATTGTTCATGCTTAGAGGATAATTTCAGAGTAAATTACATTTTTGGTCCTTTGGTTGTTGTTCACTATTAAGTTTGGGTCAATATTTTAAATTAATGACAATTTTAGTCAATGTGGCTGACATTTTGTTTCATTTTTGGTCCCTTGACTAACAGCGGTTAAAGAAATTAGTTAACTTAAAGGTCTTTTTGGTTCTTTTACACTTTTTTTTGTCTTTTTCATTTTTTGTTTTATTAGAATATATAATACTCACTGTTCTAAACAACTTGCTACAACAGTCGTTATGGCGTCCCATAAGTTTGTATCTAAGCCCATGGCACGTCATAGCTTAATACGCAAATTTTTAACACGATATTTGATTTTTCTTACATTTCTAATATCTTATTTGTTAGTTTTTGATGTATAACCCAATTTAAATTATATTATCATTGATTTATTGAATAATAGTAAATATCTCTCTCTCACACACACATACACACACACACACACATATATATATATATATATATATAGAGAGAGAGAGAGAGAGATAAATTTGTTGTCATAAGTAACACATTGTAAAACACCATGGGCTCACCGTGGTTTCTAAGTCTTGTTTACATGGCATGCCTCACGTCATTTAGAATCTTTTTCCAAATAAATTTTCATTTTGTAACTTAATTACATTTTTATATTAATTTTTATCACATTTTAATTAATTATCCCATTTTATCAACTATTTAAAATAAAACCAAATATTTTTTAAGAACTTATTCAACATCCGGCTTTTAATTTTTTTTATCTTTTAAATATGATACTTTTCGTCTAAAAAACAATTAAAATAAAACCAGACATTTTTTAAGAACTTATTCAACATCCGACTTTTTTTCATCTTTTAAATATGATACTCTTTCGTCTACATTATTATTTTAGTTTGTCCAAAATAAATGTACATTTTCAAAAGTAAATGTGTATTTTCATTTTTTACCCTTAACTTATTTTTTTTAGAGATGGAGAAAAGTTCTCTATGTAATTAATGGTAAAATTATTCTTTTATTAATTAAAAAGTGTAATAATTTATTACTGGCTATGAAACCAATACTTTTCATGGGGAAAAATTTGGTTAAAATATAAAAGATTAGGGGTAGAATTGTATACAATATCAAAGTACAGGGGAACATATTGGAAAAAAGATCAAAGTTCAATGAAACTCGCGGGTAAAGCCCCCAATCCCATTCTCCCCCACCGTCTCTGCAACTGGTCCACCGCTGCTCCGCCACTAACCCACCCATCTCCACGACTCCACCACCATTCAACCACCGGCGTAAAACCGTTCGATCGCGTCATCCATATCCATCGGTAACTTCAACTCCATTCTTCTAATTTTCAACTGCATTTCTTGTCGCGATTCTGTTTCACCGTAACATTTATATAATTTGTGAAGTATAATCGTGAAAATTGATCGTATCCGATCGCTTGGTGGTTGAATTTCGATAAATCGCCATGTTCGTGATCTTGCAGAAGATTCATGCTTGCGATTTGGAATGCAATAGGGATGGATGTATTGATTTTTTATATTGGGAATTAGGTATTCAAAAAACCCTCTTTCCGACAATTAGGTCCAGAGGGCTCGTGGATTGTTGATAATACCAGTGAATAATGATTTTGTGTACCCTACCAATAATCCCCAGTCGACACCAATAACAAATGGGGAAGAAGACAAACTAGAAACATATATATTGTAAATTTATCTGAGTAAGGACCTGCTAAAAGCAGCTTAACAAGATTAATGGCACTCACAGGTTATTCAGTTAGCTATACATGATTGTTTGGTAGTGCCATTATTATCTAGAAAGTGACTTGTATAGTAAGCTTTTAGAAGGGAACTTTATACAGAAAGTCAAGTTTTTTCCAAAGTTGTCATTCTTTCATCTACATCTATGAAGATACCCTACCAAACAAAAACCTTCTCAATCTACACAGAAAGATAAATCCACACAGACAGCTTTATCCGTACAGGACTTAATGGAAACAACAAAACAACTTCTAAGACTTCCAATTTTGGGATATTAGTCAATTTTAGACTTTAGATTTTTCTTTGTAGAGTAATAAGGGCCTTACTATGACTACATACATGGAAGACATGTATGGTTAGCATCAATAATATCACAAATCTGTCATTGGACGTGTACCTTAGTTGGCAAAGGGAAGGAGCAAAGAGACTTTGCTTAAATACACATCAGGTTTAAGTTAGAATCCTGCGACAAACAAAATCTTAGCTTGAGCCTACCTTCGCACACCACATCGAAACCTATCCTCATTGATTAGGGCACTCAGCGAGAGAACCACGTCCGCATCAGTCGAAGTGGTGGAAGATTGGCATCTTGATACACTGATTTTTACCATAATAATAAAGATGAGATTGCCTTAGTTGACATTTCATAAGTAGCACTTCAGCAACTTACGAAATCCATTTTTGTAATGTAATAATCATAAAGTACCAATTTCACAAGTTGATAAAGTGCTACTTTCAAAATACTGACGTGTCAAGTAGCACTTTAGCAAGTGCATAAGTGGCACTTCCTCGTCAACATTTCGCAAGCTGCACTTTAATAACTTGCAAAATTGCTAATTTATGAATATTATATTAAAAAAAAATGGATTTCGCAAGTTGCTAAAATGTTACAATTGTAAAATCTTGACTTTCAGTCAATTGGTTAAAAAGGTGGCTATAAAGTGAAGAGTGGAGGCCAAAATGACTATTTTGGACAATTTCTCTTCTCAATGTGATGTACTACTTATTATTTGTTATAAAGGTTGCGTCTTTATCCACATTATTTGAAAAAGCCAAAGTGATTGGTTCCCTTTTCAATTTGTTTTGTTTTGTTTTGTTTATGTTCAGACTTAAACCACAACCAGATCTATTCACAAATAATAGGAACACAAAACAGATTTAGCAACTGAAGTTATTCACATATGAATATTACTTGTCCTTTTTTGATCCATTCGTTTGGAAACTTTCCCAATAGCCGAAGATCATCAAGAAGGTCGTTATCGTTGCACATGCATTGTTCCACATGACGTATAATTTTACGACAATATGGTCCTAGAACTTTGGTTGCCCGGGACAGGTCTCATCTATCTTTTTGCTCACATCAAGTGTCTGTTTTTATTATCTGATTGGCTCAAATGGGCTATAGTTAATATGACTTAAATGACTAATAAGACGTTTTGTTTCAAAAATGTCATGAAAAACTTGTTACGATGCCTAAAAGTACCCTATCTATTCGATAAGTGTAAGACTTTACATATGACGACAACTCTTTGGTCGCAGCTTGAGAACTCATTCAGCCAGAAGTGTCATCATTGATTTAATCTTCTTCTTTTGCCAGGTTTGAGATAGCTTTGCTATTGGAGCATCAGTTTCTTTACATGTTTTCTACTTATTTTAGAAACCGGCATTCTAACATTTATCAGCGTTTGAAAGTTTTTGAAATGATGATATACTAGTTTTCAAAGTATTTATGGTTTTTATTTGAACTTTCTGATATATATATATATATATAGAGAGAGAGAGAGGTTTTAATCATGTGCATATAAGTAATCGAAGATATTTCTTGGTTTCTACCTTTTTATGCACATATGATGATATGAATGTTATGAACATGTGCATATAGTATATGGTTCAGATGAATGGTTACTAGGGTATTGTTTGTTTTTTCATTTTTTGCAGTTTTCCCAGATAGATAGATAGATAGAGAGAGAGAGAGAGTGTATTAATTGAGACAAGCAAGTAGAAACTACCATATAACTGTCTTTCTTTCTTTAAGTAGGAAGGAACCAACCAACACAATAAATAAAAGACATGGGAACATCAATGGACCACACACATCATTTTCTAACACTTTTTTATTTATATAAACGTTTTTAACACTGCAACATAACATAATTGCAAGAGACCATGCACATCCACTACAATTACTCCTTTTGGACAACATAACATACATCATACAATCACAGCATTTCTAGAGTTGATATTATCCCCCCCCCCCTTCTTTACAACTCAGAATGCATTTCTTACAATATATAACAAGATACTATATATATATATATATATATATATGTATTGACTGACTAGTTATTTAGATATACTTGTATGTATATATATATATATATATATATAATTAAGCTTAAAACTCCCTTAGATTCTCTTTACTTGAATACCCACATGATATATATATATATATATATATATGTATGTATATATATATATATGTATGTATTTGAGGGAGCTGTAAGAACAAAAGAGTAGTTTTAGGGTTTTAAGTTGTGGATCGGTGGTTTACGATGGGGCTGCGCATAGTCCATGGCTACAACGTCTTCGTTAACACTATTGCCCTTGGAGTCGTTTATAGTTTCCTTCGAATCTTGTTGCTTAGAGTACTCCATTGTTGATCTAGCACGATTCTTCCATCCCTACAATAAACCGTAATATAACATGATTCATCATTTGTTAATCGTTATTGACGTTAATAAGATATCTGATAACATCCTAAGATGTCGAGTTTTTGATTATTGGTGATGGCTTTGTAATCTAGAGACCACATTCAAGTTTGCTGAAAAACTGATCACTGAATAATATATATATATATATATAATATATATATATATATAATATATATATATATATATAATATATAATATATATATATATATATATTATATATATATATATATATATAATATATAATATATATATATATATATATTATATATATATATATATATAATATATAATATATATATATATATATATTATATATATATAGAGAGAGAGAGGGAGGATCAAACGAGAACATGGTCAACATAAGAGAACAAGAAAACAGCCAAACCACATACATGTGAATCATATTTCATATGTCTTTTCACATGCGATTACGGATCATATAATAGTCAACGCGGTAAGCAGGTGACCATGCCCATGGACTCAGGTCGCAGCCAAAGTCACGTGAATCACATGTATGATTTGGCTTTTTTCATGTGTTCTCATATTTGGTTATTGTTCTCGTATGAATTCCGACATTCTATATATACACAAGTATGGATGTGCATGCATCATGTAGTGGCAAAGGC